CTTTGCAGCTGTAATCAAGTGAAGATGAGGTTGTACTGGAGTAGGGTGGGCCCCAAACCCTCAATGCTGGTGTCCGTAGAAAAAGAGAGAGATGCAGAGATACAGGAAAGAAGACCATGTGAAGTCAGAGGCAGAGGTTGGAGTGATGAGGCCACATGCCAAGGAACTCCAAGGATTTCTGGTGACACGAGAGCTGTGTGGAAGTACCTTGCTGGTGTTAGAAGACCCCCAGTGTGTGGTGATGTGCTGCACAGCCTGCCTGGTCTGTGGGTTTGGGTGGGGGCTGCTGGGCCTGGATGGATGCTGGCAGGGAGGGGGTGTTGAGCTGGACTTGTCCTGCACCCCTCAGGACTGCTTTTTTGTCTGGGAAGAATGCCCCCTGCCAGGGGCCCTGTGGCGGGGATGTCCCCTTCTGTCCAGCGTGTGTGCGTGCAGGGAGGGAGGGAGAGGTCAGGAACGCGCTGGAGGAGGCACCAGGGACTGCTGCCCGGCCGGTGAGGGGAAAGTCTCACTTTCTTTGGCAATGCTATGGGGCAAGCTATTTGTTTAAACAACCCCAAAGAAAACCATTTGGCCAAACTGTTAGTTTCTAAACAGTTTACTTCCCTGGCATTGAAACAAACTCTTGCCCAGGCTCTGTGGCTGGTTCCTGGAGGGGGCTGGCCTCTCCTCTTCATGGCCCAGCACAGTCCTCCCGCCCACCCCACCACCCGCAGGCCTGCAGGGCGGCTGCTTGCACCTCGCTACAAACAGAACCTTCTCGGAGGCCAACTGCGGGCACCAGTTTTGGCAGGTGTCCAGTGGAGCTTAGGCCTGCAGCTGCTCCCACAGGCCTGGCCCTGGACAGAGTCTCCCACCACGGGATGTCAGACCTTCAGGCAAACGGGCTGGGTCTCGCTCCCCACCAGGTGTCCTGGTCTCTGCATTTTTCTCTGCAAGACTCAAAAACCTCAAAGGCCTTGTAGCCCAAGAGGTGTCAGAGACCCCCCTTTTGAGTCACTTAACACCTACAGATTTATCCCAGCAATGAATTGCTGCATCAATCACCAGGGATGTGAGAATGGGTTGCTGATGGTGGGGTCTGCTTGAGGCTTTGTGTCAACCTGGTCATGAGGGCTGGGACCTGGTGTGCTCAGCCCCTGATGGCTCTAGGCCTGTTTGAGACACTCTGCCTGCATCTGCCATGTGGTGACAGCAAACTGGAGAGCAGACCCTGATCCCAGCAGGACCCCTTCTTATACCCCGTAACCCTAGCTTTCCTCCCAGCACCAGTTAGTTTGTGGTTATGTATTCACTGGTAGCCTCGTCTACTTAAGGTCTCTGCCCTGTGACCATGAGGGCATTGTGAGGGCAGATCTCGAGTCTGTTTTGCCCACTCCTCCATCCCCAGTAGCTGGTTCAGGTCCTGGCCTAAAGGAACTGCCCACACAGATATTGTTGGGATGACCAAGACAGCCATGGGTGTGCTGGCTCCAGGGATCCAAGCGTTAGGGGGACCTTATTTTCCCATCTGTCGCTGTGTGTCCTTGGGCTGGGAGCTTAACCTCTTTGTGTGTCAGGTTCCTCATCAGTAAAATGAGGCATAATCCTGCCTCAAGGATTGGTGTGAAAATTGTGCTATTTTAGATGATTGTATTAGGATCATGGCAACAGGGCTGGGTAAAACAGACTCAAAATGTGTTTGGGACTGAGCGTCAGTTTCTGTGGGGACCAGCGTTTTCTGTGGAGTCATGATGGAGACACTGCCTGGGGTCACGCGGGCTCCACCATACACCCTCTGTCTTGCTCAGTGAGCTGTCCTCGACAGCCTCTTTGGAAAGTTTTCCGGACACCTCCTCGGATACGGCTTTCACAACCTCCCCACCCCCCATGGTGGCCGATTCAGCCCGAACCCTCAGTGGAGTTTGGTTGATGGTCCCCTTGCTGTCAGAGCTAGATGGGGACTCAGATACCATCAGGTGTGGCTGATTTTTCACTGTAGATGAGGTAACAGGCCCAGAGAGGTTAAGGGACCTGCCCAAGGTCACACAGTTGGGGCAGAGCCAGGAGATTTCTGTCCTGAATTCTCCCTGCTTGTCTGAGGATGCAGAGCTACCTCTCACAGGCAAGTCTGGCGCCTGCTCTGGGGTCTGCGGAGAGCAAAGGGGGGCATGTGCCAGAATCCCCTGTAAGCCAGCAAGGATTGGAGCCTGACAGGGGGCAGACTGTTGGGGGAGGGGCAGCCCATACACTGGGGTGTTGTGGGGAGGAAAGGCCTCCTGGACCTTGAAGGACAGGTTGGGTGTCAACAGCACACTCTGAGAGTGGTGCCCAGAGAGAAAATCTGTTGAAATTCAGAGTTCCCCTTCCCCACTGCCATCACACACCAAACCAGAACTTGTGTGAACTCCTCTAACTAAATCTGAATTTGTATCTCAGAAGTTTCCATTGCAGTCGGTCACTCGGGGCACCTTCTGAGTGCTGCCTGCTGCCTCACTTTTCCTTCCTGCCTGCCTCAGTTTCCCCAGCCCATGGCTTATGAAGCTGTTGCTGTCACATGTACGCCCTCTAGTGGCAGAATCGGATTATGATCTCTGGGGCTTTGAGCGGGAGTCAGAAGTGGCTAAAATGCAGGGTGCCGGGACCCTGGAGCAACACTGGGGTGCAGGAGGCCCTCTGTTGTTTGAAGGCTGCAGTTTGTCCAGGCACTGAGAAGACTGGACAGTTGGCTGCAGGGGCTGGGGCCGCTTCTGTCTCTTGTGTTGCTTTGTGGCTACAGGTGAGTGGCCCCAGAACACCAGAAGTGGCTCTGGCCCTGACCTTCTTAGTTCTATGGGTCCTTGAGAAAGGGCTGGAACAAATGAATGGGCAATGACCCACTTCTGAGGGAGGGGTGCCATGTGCTGAACCCAGCAGCCTCAGGAGGTATCTGTGTCAGGGTTAGAGCCACCCTGGGATCCCCACATCTGCATGAGGCTCCACAGGAAACTTCTGCTGCAAGTTCTGATAAATCACAGCAGAGAAGACCCAGGACAGAACCAGAACACGAATGCCAAATGCCACTGCATATGTAGGGTCCTCTCCCTTCCCTGGACCCTCCTACCCAGCATTTGCTCTTAAGGTGTGGTTTTCTTTTTTTTTTTTTTTTTTTTGGCAGCTGGCAGGTATGGGGATCCAAACCCTTGACCTTGGTGTTATGAGCACCATGCTCTCCCAAGTGAGCCAGCTGGCCCGTCCCCATGGTATGGTTTCCAACCCAGACCCTTGGGGGTTGGAAGCATGTAGGGGGTGGCCCACAGGGGTTCAGAAGAGGATCTGTAACCCCTTGCTCCCCAAACCGAGCTCCAGAGATCAGAGGAACCACTGAGGACAGTGTGGGAAGTGAAGGGCCAGCAGGGTCTCCATGGCTGCCTGCAGCCAGAGTGGATGGTGAGGGGTCCTGAGGGGGTGCTGGGGCCTTGGGCCTGGAGATGCAGGGCAACCACCGGCAGCCTGTCTCCCTGTAGGCTCTGCTTTCCTGGAGCTCTGCGCACGGCAGGCCCCGTCCAGAGTGCTGCTCAGCAGCCGGGAGAAGCTGGGTTTAGCTTCTCTTGCATTGACCGTTGTCGTCAGGCCCTCTCATGAGTTAGGCCGGGCACAGGTGCCTGGCGGAGAGATGGCTTTCTCTGGGGATTTTACACGTGCAGATCCTGCAGCCTGGCAAATCTTACCCTGAGCTAGAGGAGGGGCTTTTACTTGAGACCACAATCATCTGAGCATTCTTCTGCATCCAGCCTGGCTGTGCAGGCATCGTGGGGGGGCAGGGCTCTCTCGTTACTCACCCACCTGAGCGTCACTCTGAACCCCTGTCCACCCACATCGTGAGCGGCCCAGCCTCCAAGCTGTCCCAGGGTGCAGCAGAGACTCTGGTGGCTGTGGGGTGAGACTTCGTGGTGTGGTCCTGAAACGTGGTTTGAAGCATGTAGACGGTGCCTTGTCCGTTCCCCATGGGACCTCCCACTGCAGGACCTGTGTAGACACCAGGTCTGAGTTCCATGGGGCTTTTGCTACATTTCAGTGGCCTGTTCTCAAGGCCCAGCTGTGTGGAGGCCACAGCAGGCCATGGTAGCTCCCCGTCTGAGGAGTCAGGGTCTCATCCTGCCTTGGGTCAGAACATGCGTGGCTCTGGAGATATTTCTGTGTCCTGCCTCAGTTGTCTGGTGTGGCAGATGGTCCCTAAACTCCACATTAGCTCTTGGTACAGCTGAAAGTGCGCTGTGCGTCTCTGAGCTGGGATTTCCCTCCATGCCGGTGCTCCGTGAATGTCTGTGGAGTGAATTAAGAGCTTAACTCACCTGACAGGTGTTTCTGGTCCTGCCTAGGAGCCTGGTGACAAACAGAAAGACTGGGCAGCTGCCCCCAAGGTGCGGTCACAGGGCCAGAAGCTGCTTCTCGGGTGGGGGGGGGACGATGGAGGGCTTCAGGGAAGAGGTGGCGTTTGAGCTGAGCCAGGAAGGATGAGCTCCTAGGAGGTGGGGCCTGCTGGGGACTTGGAGGAGTGTGGCTGGCGAGCGGGGTCTGCAGCTGGGTGCCTGGGCAAGACTTGTGGTTGGGGTTGCTTTGTGGCCAGGAGAGGGGCTTGCAGGAGAGAAGGAGGCACTGACTGAGGCAGCTTCATGCAGTGGTTGAAGCCAGGCTGTGTGGCTTTTAGCTGTGCCTCAGTTTTCTCGTCTGTAATATGGGGAAACAAATGGTTCCAACCTCATCCTTGTCCTGAGGATGAACTGGTGGCTGTGGGATGAGCACGGCACATGCTACCTAAGTTACCTGTTGTGCAAGGAAGCGCCTGGAGACCTGGCCGAGACCCTCCCCTGTTGTGCCTGCCCCAGGCCCTGACCCCGCTGCTCATGTCTCCACAGGGGCCGAGGAGGTACTGCTGCTAGCCCGGCGGACAGACCTGCGCAGGATCTCGCTGGACACGCCGGACTTCACTCCTGTTGTGCCTGCCCCAGGCCCTGACCCCGCTGCTCATGTCTCCACAGGGGCCGAGGAGGTGCTGCTGCTAGCCCGGCGGACAGACCTGCGCAGGATCTCGCTGGACACGCCGGACTTCACCGACATCGTGCTTCAGGTGGATGACATCCGGCATGCAATTGCCATCGACTACGACCCGTTGGAGGGTTACGTCTATTGGACTGACGACGAGGTGCGGGCCATCCGCAGGGCATACCTGGACGGGTCAGGGGCGCAGACACTGGTCAACACTGAGATCAATGACCCCGACGGCATCGCGGTCGACTGGGTGGCCCGCAACCTCTACTGGACCGACACAGGCACTGACCGCATTGAGGTGACGCGCCTTAATGGCACCTCCCGCAAGATCCTGGTGTCTGAGGACCTGGACGAGCCCCGGGCCATCGTCCTGCACCCTGTGATGGGGTAAGGCTGGGGCTGGGAGTCGGCAACCAGGCTAAGCACATATGAGGGGGAGATTTATATAGACTGGTTCTGGAACATTCTCTGGCATCAGGATCCCTGGAGGGAGGGCTTGTAAAAATGCAGATGGCTGGGCCTACCCCCAGAATTCTGTTTGAGGAGGTCTGGGGTGGGGCCTGAGAACCTGCATTTCTGACGAGCTCCAGGTGATGCTCATAATGCTGGTCCTTGGCCCAGACTTTGAGAAGCCCTGACGCAGACTGTGCGTGCCTGTGTAGAAAGCCCTGGAGACCTGGGGTAGGTCATTTCTCCCCAGGGCTTCAGTTTCCTCATCTGTAAAATGGAGCAGCCCCACCTGGGTACTATCTAGGATGAGAAAAGTGGCAGTAGGGATGGCCACTGTGGCCCATCACAGGCCGGGCCTCTTCTAAGTTCTTAACACACCACGAATCTTTTCATTGTCCCGTCACCTGTGGGCAAGGTACAGTTGTAGCCCTGAGAAAGCTGAAGCCCAGAGAGGTTGAAGGACTTGCCCAAGGTCACACAGGTTTGGGACTGGACCCGGCAGTCTGGTTCCGACTTTCCACGTTCAGATCCTGTGAGAAGGGGGAGCTTCTCAGTTGGCATGGGAGGTTTTGTGAGACCCCCACCCCACCTGGGCAGAGGGTAGCAGCCGAGGGCCTTCCTTGGCTCATGACCCAGAACACTACGTGGGCAGACCCTGAGGGATGAGGCGCAGCGGAGCTCGGCGGTGGAGCTGGGGAGGACCACCTGTGTTCAGCACGGGATGTGGGCCGGTGTCCTAAAGATACCCTGGAGGAGCTGGAAGGATAGGAGGAGGTCAGGAGTGGTGGCTGCCATCTGCGGAGAACCCAGTGGGTGCCAAGTGTGTTCTCATTTCATGGCCCACGGGACTGAGGCTCAGAAGGTGAACTGATGTGCTGAAGGTGCACGGTGGGCAGTGGTGGGGCCAGGATTTGCAGCCTGTGCTAGTTGCCCTGCCCTGGGGCTTTCAAGCTCTGGGGGGAGCTTTTCCTGCAAGTGGAAAGATTTGTAATATCATTTAATGATTTGTTAATTCCATTTTTCCATGAACTTTTTGAAGTATGTTCAGATCAGACAGTGGGCTGCTGGCTGCAGCTGGGGTGGAGTGAGTGCTCTGGGCAGACAGCCGGGGCTCGAGCAGCCCTCTGGAGGCCCTGGGGCCTGGTGGCAGTTAGAAGAATGCTGCTCCTTGTTGGTGGCTGAAGAGCAGCATCGTCCCCCTGGAGGGGATGTGGATGGGGGTGAGGAGCAGGGTCACCAGGGCATTAGGAGCAAAGAGGCAGAGGCACTGGTTGTCAGGTCAGGTGAAGGGAATTTGGCCCTGAGGTCAGGAGACCCTGGATCTACTCCCTGCTGTGCCACCAGTGAATTCTGTCTAGTCACTGACTGCTTGGGCCTCTGTGTCCTCATCTGTGAAATGGGCAGGGTGGGGAAGCAGACTGCAAGGTCCCCCTAGCCCTGCATTTCATGAGTCTGAGGATCCCCCATGAGGGAAATGGGTTCAGCCGTCAGGTGTAAGATTGTGGGGTCCAGCAATGAGCACTGGAGATGGAAGGGAGACGGGGGATTGCCCGCCGCGTGGGGCACCGTGGGAGAGGAGCCTGTGGCCCGGGGACAGCACAGGCTGGTGTTCCTTGCACAGAAACCTCCGCTCCGAGCTGCCACTCCAGGCTTGAGTATCCTTCTTGGAGCCACAGAGAAAAGGTCACCTGTCCCTTGTCCACGGGAGCCCCTCAGCCCCTTGCAGAAGCTTCTACTCTTCCTCCGGCCTCACTCTGGTGCTTGGCCCCTCCAGCCCATGGGTCAGACGTGAGGCCTCCCTGACCCTTGGCAGGGAATCCCCTGTTGGTGGACCCATGGGGTGAGAGATGAGCCCCAGCCCCGTCAGTGTAAGGGCCCGTGTAGTGAAGCCCGCCCTGGGGGCTGTGCTGTTGGAGTGGAGCTGCCGGCTGCACGCCCCGGGCCGTTGCCGTCCGCTCGGTCTGCCAGCGTTTACAAGCACCTCGTGTACTAGGGGACTGCGGGGTGGGTGATGCTCTCAGCATTGGGGATGCAGCAGAGATAAGACAGATGGACGCTGTCACGGACGTCTGCTTCTTTTCCAGCCTCATGTACTGGACGGACTGGGGGGAGAACCCCAAAATCGAGTGCGCCAACCTGGACGGGCAGGAGCGGCATGTGCTGGTGAACACGTCCCTTGGGTGGCCTAATGGCTTGGCCCTGGACCTGCAGGAGGGGAAGCTCTACTGGGGGGACGCCAAGACGGACAAAATTGAGGTGAGTCCTCCCGTGGGGGCTGCTTTGTCCCGAGGGAGCGTTTTGGTTTGAGAAGTTGTGGGATACAAGTTTCATGCAGAGACCTGGCCTGGCCGCCCCTGCAGCACGGTCCTCCCGTGGGGGCTGCTTTGTCCCGAGGGAGCGTTTTGGTTTGAGAAGTTGTGGGATACGAGTTTCATGCAGAGACCTGGCCTGGCCGCCCCTGCAGCACAACCACATATCAGGAGGGCATCGGTGGATACCTGTGCTCGGCTATTTTGCCAAATGGAATTCTCGAAGAAATAACGTATTGTGATACTTTCTGATGTACAGGAAGGCCCTGAGAGGGCCTGTACCCGGGTTAACAGCGTTGCACAGGAAGCTGTGGTCCTGTGACATGTTAGTGCAGGGGTGGGGGGAGCTGGGCGAAGGGCACGTGGGCATCCTTTGCACTACTTTGCCCCTCCTTGTGAGCTTAATCTATTTCAAAACACAAGATTATAACAAAAAATAAACAGCACTCGCCTATCCACAGCCGGGATTAAGACATAAGGCATTATCGATAGATTAACACCAGCAGCAACCACTGTCCTGAACTGGCGATTCAGTCTCAAGCAGGTAAAGACAGGTGTGTTTCGTTTTTTTTTTTTTCATGGATGTCTTCCTGAACAATGGATAGTCTTGTTCTACGTGTTTTCATATGCTTTAATTTCATTATTTTTCACGCTGGCCAGTATGGGGATGGGACCCTAGGCCTAGGTGTTATTAGCACCTGGCTCTAACCAGACGAGCTGAGCGGCCAGCTCAGCTGGATATGATTCGAGTGGCATCATCTGGTCACGTTCTTTGGCAACTTGCTTTTTGCTCCCCCGTGGAGCCTCCACTGAGCATTTTTTTTTGAGGCGCTCTTGATGCCAGTGACACGTGTGTTATATTTGTCCCCATGGCAGGCAAGTCCCTGGTGTGAGTACCTCTCCTCTTCTGGACCATCTGCGTGCACTCACATCCCTCCTTGTTGGCATCTCCTTTGGGGTCACCTCCGCTCTTTTCAGGGAGTCCTGACCCAGGCAGGAGGAGCCTCAGCACCATCGGGACAGGAACTCAGGGCTTGGGGGGCGCTGGGTGGACACCCTACCCCCCCCAAAAGCCCGAGGAGCTGCAGGTGTAGCCATTTCCTGCTGGCGCTCCCTGTAAATGGCGTGTTTTTAACTGTCCTGTGTCCCAGGTGCTGAGCTGGACGCGGAGGCTGGTGTTTCCAGGGCAGCTGAGCACGATCTGTCTTTGTGTCTCCCGCTGCCCACGGGAGCAGGTTAGGATGCGTGTGTCCAGCCAGCACTGCAGGACCCGTGACAGGCATCTCTGTTTACTCCCACAGCAATGGTTTTCCTTTTATTGTGAGAAAATAAAGTGGACCATTTTAGCCATTTTTAAGTGAACAATTCAGCGGTTTTGAGTACATTCACAGTGTTGTGCCAATATCACCGCGATCTACGTCTAGAACATTTTCGTCACCCCAAAAGGAATCCCCGTGCCCATTAGCAGTCACTCCCAGCCCCCCGTGGTTCCCCTGGCCTCTGGCAACCACTAAGCCACTTTCTCTGTGGATAAGAACAGGCAAGCTCTGGGCATTTCGTGTGAACGGAGTCATACTCTCTGGCCTTCAGTGCCTGGCTTCTTTCCATAGTGTGACGTTTTCGAGGCTCATCCATGCCGTACCGTGTCGGTGCCTCATCTCGTCATGGCTGGATAGTATTCTGTTGTGTGCACAGACCACGTTTGTTTATCACTTCTGGACACCGTCCCGTATTTCTGCTGGAGCTTGGCGCATCTTCTCCTGTGGGGACAAACCCTCGTGGCATATTTTTTCAGTGGTGAAATGCCCCGGGGTCTGGGCCACTGATGTGGGCGAGCTTCTGGGAGCGTTCCTGCTGTGGACTCCAGCTTCTCATGCCAGGGTCTTGGGGTTTGCTACTCTCTCGATCAGCAAACACCTTCTGAGCACTTAATGTACACCAGCTGTATTCCAGGCCTGGGGGCACCCAAGAGATGCTCCTCTGAGTGCCCCTCAGGGACCTGTGGGTCAGGCTGCCGGCCCAGGCGCGTGGCTGCTGCTAGGGGTTGTGGTGGCTTCTGAGGCCTTCGAGGGGAGCAGCCAAGGTGCAAAGAGCCACATTGACCTCACTGAGAGTGCAGTCAGACTCCAAGGGGAAGGGATGGTCAGGGAGGGTATGCGTCGGGTCAGGAAAGACAGGACACACTTTGAGCAGCGGGGACGTCTCTAACACGTCATGTCGGAAGGCAGTAGAACGCTGAGCGGGGTGCTAAGGAACCCGGGTGCCAGCCTTGGGCATGTCTTGCTGCCTGCCTTGGAAGGGGAGAAAGGCTTCTGTTCCGCGTGGCTGTGTGCGTGGCCTGGCTCTGAACGCAGAGCACAGGCAGCGGAAGAAAGGCGCTTTCTGGGGTGACAAACGGCCTTCTCTTTGAAGAGGTAATCAGGCTCCCGGTGTCCCGCCCCCAGTCCCAAGGAGGACTTTACAGGACAGCTGCGGCTGATCCCTTGATGAATTGGGAGAAGAACAAAGGTCTGGAAACGCCGAGCTGATGAACAGGTTTCATCTGGACGGCATTAGCAGCGCACAGATCAGATTTACAGGACGGAGTGGTGATGGTGGGCGGGTCCTCACAGCCCCTCCAGGTGGGGTCTCCTTGCTGGCCTTGTCTGCGACAGCTGTGCTGGAATCAGCTCCCAGCAGCCCAGTTAATGCACAGTCGTGGCAGCCCTATCTGAAGACCAGCTAGTTACCATCATCAGTACCAGCTGGAGCCACCAGTCACTTCCTCGCTGGCTTATTCTGGGAGGCAGCCCTGAGTGCCCCTGCCCACCCGCAGGGCCCACCCAGGTGTCCCGACGTGCAGGTTGGGGCTGTGTTCAGGGGACCTGCCCCACTGTATGCAAGGCCTGAACGGGTGTGGGCTGAGGTCCTGTGGGTGCCACCCCGGCTCTCCCTCCACTTCCCCACGGTGCCTGCAGTCACTGTTTCTCCAGCCTCCCAGACTAGGAATTCCAGTGCTGCGCTGACTTCACACCTGGACACCTCCTGAGCCGCCTTCCCAAGTCTAGAGCCATCAGGGTTGGAAGCTTCAGCCCCTTGGATGCCCTTAGCTACACTCAGCCCAACCTGTGACCCTCCATTGGGCCCCTCAGGACTGAGCTCGTCATGTGCCCCAAGATGCAATTTTATTTGTGACAGTGACCAGGATCCATCCTCTCCCTAAGGGGTCTCTGATGACCCTCAGGCTCCACCCCTCCCTCCCTCTGGCCATGCTCCTGAGCAGATACCAGGCCCGGGACAGCCCAGCATGGGCCTCCCCCAAACATTTCCATTCGTCCCGACCTCTGTCCGGAGCCCCAGACTCAGCTGCCTTCAGCCCTTTCCCCTGGCAGCCTGGGGTCCCCTCATATGCCATGGTCTCATGGGTGGGGACAACCCGTCCCTGCCACCCACTCCACCTACCAGTGAGGGTCTCCCCTTCCAAAGTGGCAGTGTCGGGGTTGGGGCCTGGAGGCTGAGGCCGTAGCCCTTCACACCCATCTGGCACTTGAGCTCTCTCCTGCCACGGGTTGTCGTCGTCACTGTCATCTCCAAAGTGGCAGTGTCGGGGTTGGGGCCTGGAGGCTGAGGCCGTAGCCCTTCACACCCATCCGGCACTTGAGCTCTCTCCTGCCACGGGTTGTCGTCGTCACTGTCATCGTCATTTCACTTGTCTGCGAGCCACCTTGTCTCTCAAAGCAGAAGGAGCTCTGTGGGGTACAGCTCGAGTTGGGGTCTCTGTGCTAACCCCTGGTGGGGGCTTGATCACACCAGGTCAGGAGTAACCTCTTCCCCTTCTCTGACATTCATCGTAAGTGGGTGGAGGTGACGTTGGGCACAACCATAGTAAATGCGCTGCAGGAGTGACAGGAGGTGAGGCCCTGGCAGCCCCCGTCTGTGGCACTGGGAGAGACGTTAGACCACTGGGCTTTTGGCCTGCGAGCCGTGTGTGTGAGGCTTTTTAAAACATGAAACAAAGTCACTGTAGCCCTTGACTTTGGGTTTTGTGTCTTGGTGTGATAATTATTCCCCCAGACGGCAGAACTCTTTGCCCTTTAAACATGTGCTGTCAAAGCCTTGGTCTCGTGCTCACATCTCTGCGCAATCAAGTCAGTGGAAGCAGGATTCACGGTAAGGAAACTGCACATCAGGTGACTCTCTGGGGTCCGCTGCTTTGTGGGCTGACCTGCAGACCCCACAGTGGCGGGTCCTCAGCATGGCTGAGGGTGGGCTTCTTTGGGATCTCCCCCGCTCCCTTCCCACCTCAGTTGCTGGTCTGCAAGTGCTGTGATGGGCTGGCCCAAGAGGCAGGTGTCTGTTCTGCTTGCCTTGGGAAGAGGACAGAAGCCAGCAGCTCGGAGCAGCATAAGCTCTTGGGTATAGTTTCCTTTCCTGAAAAGCAGGGTCACAGGAACTCCTAGAGCAGGGGTTGAAAACTACGGCCCACAGGCCAGATTCAGCAGGCTGCGTGCTCTGTACCACTCTCAAGCTAAGAGTGGTTTTTGCATTTTTAATAGCTGGAAAAAAAATCAAAAGAAAAAGATTGCATGACATGTGAAAATTATATGGAATTCAAATTCCAGTGTCCACATTCTTAGTTTTTGTTACCAATAAAGTTTTATTGGCACACAGCCATGCCTATTCATCTATCAGCTCCATGGCTGCTTTGTTGCTCCAGAGCCATTATGACCTCAAAGTTGAAAATATTTTCTATCCTTTACAGAAAAAGTTTCTTTTACAGAAAAAGATTTTTTTTAACAGAAAAATCTGTCTCCCAAGTCCTCTCCTGGCTCCAGCATTTGTGGGTATCCCAAATTCGATCCTGTTATTTCTGAATTCTGTTTTGACTTCTTCCTCTGCTGGGAGTCAGACTGAGCACGTTCTGTGTGTCCCTCCTGCTCCTCAGACTCACCTGTGGGGAGCTGCCTTAATGATCCTTTGCATCCTGATTTAATTGCTCCAGGTCGGGCCTAGCCATCGTTCTTTGTTTTGTTAAATTCCCTGGGTGATTTTAGCTCCTGGGCTAGTCTAATCCCCTCAGACGAGAAACTGAGGTCCATGGGGGTGCAAGGACTCCCTGAGGACGCAGAAGCCATGGGGCAGAGCTGGAGGGACCTGGCTGTGTGTCCCAGAGCTGCCTGCCCCTCCTGGTGGACTTGGCAGTTTTGTCCTGTGCTGTCCAACAACAGACGACAGAAGTCTTTTTTCTGCTCAACACATGCTCAGGCTGTCTTGCATTTTTGCAGCCTGCAAAACGGAGGATTTGTAGCTTTTCTGATGAGCCAGAAAATATAATCTGGCTGCAGGAGGCCTGCCGGAGCTTGCCTGTAATTGCCTCGTGTGTCTTTCATCCTCTCCCGAGAGCCAGAGAGCTTGGATGTTGTGTCTTTACCGAGTCTTCCTTTTAACGTAAGCTTCTATGGGATCATCGAATCACAGCTTACCTGTTGTCATTGTGTTTCAGTTTGTTACGGCGTTTTTATGTTTGACAGTATTTTCTCCTCTGTGGCTTTTGTGGTATTGCTTTTAATCAGCATTGATGCTTCAAGAAAAAGATTTAGCTTTTACTTCTTGGAGTAAACAGGGGTAGAAAGCAGTCTTAGATTTACAGGCTCAGGCTTAGAAAAAGAAGCACCCTCAGATCTCTCTGGTCCTGACTGAGCAAGAAAGTTGTTCACAGAGAAGTAGGAGAAACTTACCCTGGTCCTGCCCTTGCTCAGCCTTTTGAAACTGTGTGTCAGGGGCTCCCCCACTGCACCTGGGGTGGGCATTGTCGATGGATCCCAGGACTCCTTCCTGCGGAGCATGCTCTGGTCTGAGACCCATGCCTTGGTACTCCAGCAGCTGCTGCCTGTGGGTCAGCAATGGTAAGGGAGGGGACACCTGTTGGCTTTGCCTGTTCCAGACCATGCTGCCCATCCCAGCACAATATCCACCCCTAGACAGGGGAGGCTATGGGAAAGGACCCCTGAACTGGCCCTGCCACTGCTCTGTCAACTGAGGATAAGCCATCAGTGAAAATGTCGTTTATCCAGCACCCCAATGAGCCAGGACACCTGGCATTTTACAGTACCTGGCAAGGTGCAGGCGGAGCTGAGGCTCCTGGGGTTGAACCTGTCTCATTTCAGGCTGGTCAAGCCTGAGGCGGGGTCAGGGTTGGCTCTCGTTGGCATGGCCTTGGCCTGTCCAGACTGACATCTCTGCCATCCGCAGGTGATCAATGTCGATGGGACAAAGAGGCAGACCCTCCTGGAGGACAAGCTCCCACACATCTTCGGGTTCACGCTGCTGGGGGACTTCATCTATTGGACCGACTGGCAGCGGCGCAGCATTGAGCGGGTGCACAAAGTCAAGGCCAGCCGGGATGTCATCATTGACCAGCTGCCTGACCTGATGGGCCTCAAAGCCGTGAACGTGGCCAAGGTCACTGGTGAGTCTGGGAAGCCCCAACCCATGGCTCAGCTGTGCCGACTGGTGCAGGGAAGAAGCGACGGGTCCAAACCTGGAGCATGAGTGTCCAGCTAGGGTGCCCACTCTGGGGATGGGCAGGGCAGGAAATGGTAACACGTGCAGATGGGTGTGGGGCTGGTGTATTGCTCAGAGGTACTGACTGGGTTGTGGTTGTGGACTGGGAGTGCTGGTGGTAATTGTTGCAGCAGTGGTTAACATATATTGTGCGTCTGCTGTGTGCCAGGCCCTGGCTAAGGGCCTTTGTGGCCAAAGCAACCCTACATGCTAATTGCAGTGACTGCCCCATTTACCCTGGGGAGAGGGAGGCAGCCGATGGATGGCCGAGCTCAGGACTCACCCCTGGGTCTGCTTTGACCTCATTGCTGGGCTGGGCCGTGATTGCTGTTTGCTGTGGCCAGGCGTGGACCCTCAGACTCGCACCTTTCACTTGAAAGCCAGGGTTTGCAGAAAGCTCACTTAGGAGGTCTTCGTTTGGCACAGTAGTTTGACTCTCTGAAAAGGATTTCAAAAGCAGGTCAGCAAGTTAGACTGGAGAGAGCAGCGTCCAGGTGTGGTGTGGGGGAGGACAGGACCACGCGGGCTGTGTTCCTGGCTCAGCACAGGTGCCTGTGCTGCACCCGCATGTTGTAGGTGCTCAGCAAATCTTGGCTGGACTAGTTTGACTCTCTGAAAAGGATTTCAAAAGCAGGTCAGCAAGTTAGACTGGAGAGAGCAGCTTCCAGGTGTGGTGTGGGGGAGGACAGGACCACGCGGGCTGTGTTCCTGGCTCGGCACAGGTGCCTGTGCTGCACCCGCATGTTGTAGGTGCTCAGCAAATCTTGGCTGGACGAATGAATGAATGAATGAATGAATGAATGAACGAACGAACAGAGCACCCAGTGCTTGCCATCCAGTTGCTTACAGTCTGGTCAGCGAGAGGCCCTGAGTTAGCTCTACTTCCAGGCAGTGGCTGTAGCTGAGGTGTTGGAGGGATGTCTGGCTTTGAAATATGAGGGAGGTCAATGAGTTTGGGATTGAGGCAGGAGGTAGGAGAGCAGAAAGGACAGCTGAGCAGAGGCCTAGAGGTGAGGCAGCGTGGGGTGACCTTGGGAGCAGCTAGTGTTTCCTGTCCCTGCAGACTTTGTCACACTCTGCACTCCCGATGCAAAGATGATGGGATAGATGAACTCAGTCTTACCAGCCACCTTTAAAAACACGTCCATTATCCACTGTTGAGGGCAAGACCCACCTGCGAGTGATTGTTCAAAAACCAAAAAATAACTCTAGAGATAAGAAAAAGGGTTGCATCTGTGGGGCTGTGATTTAAAGTTGAGAAGTTGGGCTCATCTCTTTTTCTCCTGAATCTCATTTACTGAGGGAGATGGGAAAAAGAATTCTTTTTTTAGCTTAAATACTTAACACTAAATTAAAGCCAATTTTAACAGCACTTAGATAGATGACTGAGATTAACAGTCTGGCCAGAAATAAACGAACATGCTAATACCGTCTGCTTTCATGAAAAAGAGGCGCCTTGACAGTCCTGGGTGACTCTTGAGTTTTCAAGGTTGCCGAGAGTGTCTGTGAAGTGGAAGAAGCATTCTGGAAGAATCTCAGGAGCCAGTCCTGTTAGCTGGCGAGGAGTTGAGGACCCCGGAGGGGTGGCTTGCCCTGTCTCTCCTCATGACATTGTCGCCTCCTTACCCAGTTGGAGCTCAGGCCAGGAGGCTGGACTGCCTGGGCTGGTGTTCTTGCAGAGCTGCTACCTAAGTTCCTAACTATGTCCCCTCCAATAGCCTCTCTGTGCTTTAGTTTCCTCTACTGAAAAATGAGACTAGTTCCTATCACCTTTGTTGATGGAGTGAGTTAAAAGAGGCGATGTCCCGGGACCAGTGCCTGGGGCAGGGCAGGGCTGCTGCTGTTACCCTACTCCCACTTGACTGCTGGGGAGAGCCGGCTGCTGTCATCCGGGGGTCTCTCCCACCCCCCACCTCCTGTCCCCATTTGCCATGCAGCAGGAATACGCCATGCAAAACTGGCTCAGCTGCACCCTTCTCTTTGCTGGGCTGTTTTGTTCAGAGCCTGTGTGTTTTCTTCCAGGAACCAACCCGTGTGCAGACGGGAACGGGGGATGCAGCCACCTGTGCTTCTTTACACCCCGTGCGACCCGGTGCGGCTGCCCCATTGGCCTGGAGCTGCTGAGCGACATGAAGACCTGTATTGTGCCCGAGGCCTTCCTGGTCTTCACCAGCAGAGCAGCCATCCACAGGATCTCCCTGGAGACCAACAACAACGACGTGGCCATCCCGCTCACGGGCGTCAAAGAGGCCTCTGCACTGGACTTTGACGTGTCCAACAACCACATCTACTGGACGGATGTCAGCCTGAAGGTACCGCTTGCTAGATCGCGTTCCCGGGCAGCTTTTCTATGAAAATCTTGCCTGTAATGTTACCACCTCAAAGGCTTACACATTTTTTTTAAAGAACTATAATATTTATTGTAACTTGATGGAAGCTAATGAAATTTTAGCAAACCTATTTTAATAAACACATATGAATGCTTATAATGAGCAGATCTAGTAAATGCACACATGGCGTTTTTGTAGAATGCTGTGTAAATGTGAAACATTTGTTATAAATTGACATTGACTTCAGACTCACCTCACCAGCTTCCATTTGCTTAGCAAACTCTTTCTTCATTCATAGTTCAAACATAAACATCCTGGATAAATACAGGAAAAGACTTTTTGTCTTCTAAAGCAGGGTTTGGCAAACTGGTCCATGGGCTGGCCTCCTGATTTTATAAATAAAGTTTTATTGGAACATGGCGATGCCTATTTGTTTATGGATTGTCTGCAACTGCTCTTGGGTGACGTGTCTGTATGGTCTGTGAAGCCTAAAATATCTCCTACCTGCCCCTTTACACATCCCCGTTCTGGAGCATTGGATGACTAAGACAGTTTAATCTATCTTTTATTCTCTTGTTTGTATTACATATCTTTTAAATATTTATCTGAATTTAAGTCACAAGGGTTCTTTGTAGAAAAAGGAAAATATACAGAAAAGTATAAAGAAACTAAAAATCACCCATAACCTCACCAGCCAGTCAACGTTGCTGACACCTCAGTGGATTTCCTTCAGGTTTTTTTCTTAAAGACATTATGTGTTATAATCATAATCACATGCATAGACTCACATGCATAGAATTCTGTGTCCTGACTTTTTCACTTAACATTATAGCAAGTATTTTATTAAGCCAAAACAAACTCTGCAATATAATTTTTTATTTTATTTTTTTTAAAAGATGACCGGTAAGGGGATCTCAACCCTTGGCCTGGTATTGTCAGCACCACGCTCAGCCAGTGAGCAAACCGGCCATCCCTATATAGGATCCGAACCCGGGGCCTTGGTGTTATCAGCACCGCACTCTCCCGAGTGAGCCACGGGCTGGCCCAGCAATATAATTTTTTAAACATGTAGACTATTCCACTGCACAGATATTTCCTGTTAGACTCAGTCATTCTCTTATAAACATTCTGGTCACTCCACTTTTTCCCAGTTCTAAGCAATACCACAGTAATAAACATCTGTGTGATTTCAAATAGTTGTAGTTTTATAGTTCCTTGAGATAAAGTTTCAGGAGGAAGATTACTGGTTGAAAGGATACAAGTATTTTTAAAGGTCATATATCAATATCCAATTTGCTTTTCCCAAAAAGGTTGTATTTTACTGCATTTCCTTTTTGTCTTTTTTCGTGACCGGCAACGGATCACAACCCTCAGTGTCACGCCCGTACCGGACCGGGACCGGCAACGGGATCGCAACCCTCGGTGTTGCGCCCGCACCTCGCTCAGCCAGTGAGCGGCCGGTCTATATGTGGGATCCGAACCCTCGGCGGGAGTGCCGCCACGCTCCCAAGCGGCGCACGGTAGCAGTGCGCCACCGGGCCGGCCCATATTTTACTGCATTTCCAATGTTCATTTTAGAAGTTTCCATTACGGGTGATCTGGTCCCAGACGTGGATGATAGTTGCTCCAGGTGGCCAAGCACCTCACTGTTAGATGTCTGCAGGAGATGCTGGCTCCTAAAATGTGGCCCTTTCCCTCCGCCTCTGCTCCCAGACCATCAGCCGAGCCTTCATGAACGGGAGCTCAGTGGAGCACGTGATCGAGTTTGGCCTCGACTACCCCGAAGGCATGGCTGTCGACTGGATGGGCAAGAACCTCTACTGGGCCGACACTGGGACCAACAGGATTGAAGTGGCCCGGCTAGACGGGCAGTTCCGGCAGGTGCTCGTGTGGAGGGACTTGGACAACCCGCGGTCATTAGCCCTGGATCCCACCAAGGGGTAAGGACTGTTTCTGTCCATGGTGTGGGTCCCTGCCCCCTCCCTCCCTCTCTGCATCAGCCAGCACGGTGATGCTGCCTGGGCCATAGTGGGAGGCTGTCCTGGCACGCTGTGGTTAGAGTCATACTGACCGTCATCAGCCTGGAAGTTGGCCAGGGCTTGTGGGACCCTCGGAGGTCATCGAGTTCATTCACAGAGAAGGCTGGGGCTGGAGCAGGAGGGGTGCAAGTGGCTGGGTCAGGCCTGTGCTGACACTGACACCCACAGTTTCATCCCAGAGTCCAGGGAGTTTGCATGGGGTGGGTATCTGTGTCTCTGATTTTACTGATGCGGAAACTGAGGCTCAGAGAAACAAAGTGCCTTACATAGGGTCATGTAGCCAGTTAGAGCAGGGCTGGGCCAAGAAGTGCTGTCCCGGCTCCTGTCCAGGCCTCCTTTCCCTGCACTGGGTGCCCGATTCTGTGACCTGAGAGCCGGCTTTGAGGACCTCGGATTTCAGGCTGCTCAGACACTTCTTGCAGGCCAGCAATTAAGACCCACCTCACTAGGCACAAGCATGCTCTTATCTGCCAGGCAGCCTAGGGGTCCTGCCTTGGGCACTGGGGCCAGACAGGCCCAGGCCGGAGTCTCTCTCTGGACCTGAGTTTCCTTTTCTGTGAAGCTGGCACAATGCCCATCCCATAAAGCACCTGTGATGTGTATGGAGCAGCCCAAACCCTGCCTGTTGCATGCTCGATTAGGGAAGGAGGGGCTATTTCAGGATGGCAGCATAAAGAGAAAGAGGTCCAGGTTAGCAGAAGGGCAAGTGAAACTTACAAAATTCTGGAATGAGGACGAGTTTCCTTTTCCGGATCTGCTGAAGAAGAGGGAAGGAGGAGCCGCTGATGGAGATGGCGTAGAGCTGAGTTTGAAGCCTGATCCTGTGATGCCACCTTCTTTGTCTTGGGCTCTGTTTTCTGCCCTCTTTGAGTAAAGGGACTGTCCATCCCGACAGGCCTGTGTTCATCCTGGTTGACACCATCCCCCAGCAGCCCGTCAAGCTTAGGTAGCATTTGTCCTGAAGGAAGTGCCGCGGCTCGGATGTTCTATCATCTGGTTGTCTTGTCTGTGCACCTGTTTTTGTGTTTGTAAATGGGTATTTACTGCTGCGGGAATTCAGGGGGTAGCAATTGACACCATCCCCCAGCAGCCCGTCAAGCTTAGGTAGCATTTGTCCTGAAGGAAGTGCCGCAGCTCGGATGTTCTATCATCTGGTTGTCTTGTCTGTGCACCTGTTTTTGTGTTTGTAAATGGGTATTTACTGCTGTGGGAATTCAGGGGGTAGCTCCATCCCCCAGCAGCCCGTCAAGCTTAGGTAGCATTTGTCCTGAAGGAAGTGCCGCGGCTCGGATGTTCTATCATCTGGTTGTCTTGTCTGTGCACCTGTTTTTGTGTTTGTAAATGGGTATTTACTGCTGCGGGAATTCAGGGGGTAGCAAAGTGACAGCCCCTGGAGGGGTGTTTGGCTCATAACAGAAGCTCAGCAAGGGTCTTGCTCCTTCCCTGCCTCCTGGAGGGACGTCACTGATGCAGTGTTCTCCAGGAAGGGGAGGTCTGGGCCGAGGAGATGATGGCGGTCCATCTGCCCCACTGTGAGAGTGGATTGGACTGAGCCCTCCCTGCCCTCCTCCTGGTTGTCTTCCAGCTACATCTACTGGACTGAGTGGGGTGGCAAGCCCAGGATCGTGCGGGCCTTCATGGATGGGACCAACTGCATGACGCTGGTGGACAAGGTGGGCCGAGCCAATGACCTCACCATCGACTATGCAGACCAGCGTCTCTACTGGACTGACCTGGACACCAACATGATTGAGTCGTCCAACATGCTGGGTGAGGCTGGGCGGGGGCATTGAGGGCAGGCAGCAGGGCCTTGGCCATATCTCAGCCCCCACTGCCCTGTCTCTCGGCCTGTAGGAGGTGTTGGACATACCCGTGAGTTTGTCCCTGAGCACCCCCTGGTGATGTTGCTGTTGTTGTGTTGAGAGAGGCCCTAGTGACAGCTGTTTCCTGTTCACCTAGTGGGTGCTAGGTCCCACTAAGCCCTGTGCCAGGACTCTAATTTGACCCTACACCATGTGGTGGAGGAACTGAGGCCCAGAGAGGTCGTGTGACTCACTTGAGGTCACCAAGGTAGTGAGTCATAGAGCCCTACTGAGACCTCAGGGCCAGCGCTCAGTCTCTGCCCAGCCCTGAGCACGTCCTGTGTGCCAGGCATTGTGCTGGGATCAGTCACGGATGCCAGCACCCCTGGGTCAGCATTCTCATCTCCTTGTTACAGAGGACGAAAATGAGGCTCAGGGAAGTTTTTAAAAAACCTGTCCCAAGTTATCCAGAACCCAGAATGCAGGACTTCGTACTCTATTCTGCTGAAGGAGAGTGGTTACGTTAGCTGTCCTGGCTCATACACCAGCTGACAGGGACTGCTGTGCTCAACAAAAGACCCCCTACCCTCCCGCCCCCAGTTGGGAAAATGAAAGGTCAAAGCGGGCAGAAGCTCTGAGGGACTCCCGGGCAGCCCTCGGTTTCAGGGCAGACAAGGAAGGAGAGGGTGTGGCCCGTCGAGCTGCACGGGGGCAGTCACCCAGGCAGCCCCGGCTTTTGGTTCCTGGAAGAGAGACTTCTGGTGATCATGGGCTGGCCGATTGAAACCTGGGTCTCCCAGAGCCTCTGAGAGCTGTCCAGCACTGCGGAGCCCGCCAGTAGGGGCAGAGGGAATTTGGCTTCCTTCCTGATCACTGCTGCTGCCATTCATGGTGGGTGTGGTCGTGTCCATTCTACAAATGAGGAAACTGAGGTATGGGAGAGCTGAATGCCTTGTCTCAGGTACTACGTAGGCAGAGTTGGAACTAGAAACTCAGTGTCCTGGTTTCTGCTTGGGTTGGGCTACACCCGCCAACTCTGACTGCCTGGTTTGTGAGGCCAAGGGCACGGTTTGAATGCATCTTCCAGGCCACCACCCCAGCTCCCCAGTGCATCGCATGACTTTACTCAGACAAGAAACCAATCAGAGCACAGCTCTGCCTGCCTCAAATGATTAAGCTCATTAATCACCCCAGAGTAAGGAGAGACTCAGATGAAAACCAGTAAAAGCCCTGGAAACTTGCATGACCCTGCAAATTGAGGGTGGCCACGTGCACTGGGTCTGCTGTCACTCCATTGTGTTTTCTGTTTAATGCTCTGGACATTTACTGAGCACTCAGTTAATAACGTGAAAGGCCTGGGCTTGTTGCCGGGGGAGTGAAAGGTGAGTAATGATGTCTGACTTGGTAGGAGCCGGTGTGGAACGTGAACGTGTAGCCTCGCTGCCTGGGTTGTGATCCTGGCCCCGCCACTCAGTGACTGTGTAACTTTAGCCAAGTCACTTAACATTCTGTGCCTCATTTTAATAGTACCTCCTTCTCAGAATTGTAGTGGGAATTAATTGAGATAATGTGGACGAAATCACTTTTGACAGTGACTGGCACCCCAGTAAGTGCTCTCTGAGTGTCCTTGAGATTCATCCACATTGGTATGTCATTTCTATTATATGAGGATTCCACCATTTACTGTTGACGTACATTTGGGTTGTTTCCAGCTTGTGGCTATGACAAATACTCACTGCTGTGAACATTCTGTGTATGTGATTTCGGTGGGTATTGTGTGCGTTCTCTTGCCTGTACACCCGGGAGTAGAATTGCTGGGTAGCTGGATGTTCGGCTTTGATGGATTCTGCCGGTTTTCCAAAGTGGTTGAACACTTTAAGCCTTCGATGCAGTAGCCAGGCTGCAGGTGGAAGCAGTGTTCCTGATAGGGCGCTCTGTGCTTTGTGCCTGGCCCTGCCGATGCTGACAGCGTGCTTGTGTGTCTCCATGCAGGTCAGGAGCGGATTGTGATTGCTGATGACCTCCCGCACCCCTTTGGCCTGACACAGTACAGCGATTACATCTACTGGACGGACTGGAACCTGCACAGCATCGAGCGGGCCGACAAGATCAGCGGCCGGAACCGCACCCTCATCCAGGGCCATCTGGACTTTGTGATGGACATCCTGGTGTTCCACTCCTCCCGCCAGGATGGCCTCAACGACTGCATGCACAACAACGGGCAGTGCGGGCAGCTGTGCCTTGCCATCCCTGGCGGCCACCGCTGTAGCTGTGCCTCACACTATACCCTGGACCCCAGTAGCCGCAACTGTAGCCGTAAGTGCCTCGTTTCCTCTCGCACCTCACCCCCACATCAGATCAGCGTGGCTCTGTGTTATCAGTCTGTTTTGTGTTGCTATAACAGAATACCTGAGACTGGGTAATTTATAAAGAAAAGAGGTTTTTTTGACTTACGATTCTGGGACAGCTGCATCTGGTGCAGGCCTCAGGCTGCTTCTACTCATGTAGGAAAGCAGCAGGCAGCTGGCAGGTACAAGCAGATCATGTCGTGAGAGGAAGCAAGAGAGAGGGGAAGGTGCCAGGGTCCTATAAACAACCAGCTCTTGTGGGAACTAATAAAACAAGAACTCACTACCCCCACCCCACAGGGAGAGCATTAATCCATTCCTGAGGGATCTGACCCCATGACTCCAACAGCTCCCAACACTGCCACATTGGGGATCAGATTAACGTATGAGTTTTGCGGGGGACAACACATCCAAATTCTATCACTCTGGGAGCTAAGATAGAAGGAGCTTCTCATATGGATGTGACCTTGATGTACATGGATGGTTGGGCAGGTGGTGCACTGCACAAGCTGCATAGTGCTACCTGGAGGCCCAAACTGGGTGAAGGACCTGTTGCTTTATCAGGACACAAATAAATGGGCCAGCCCCTCAGCTGGCAGATTCCATAGGAGGATCTTTGGATGTGAAAACCAGTCACAGTGGGAGAGCACTCTCATATTGCCAGCAGCATTCTAAGTGCTTTCCATGGCAGTCATTCAGTCCTCAGGCCTGTCACAATCCCTGTTCACAGACAAGGAAGCTAAGGCACAGAGATGTGCAGCAACCCACCCAAGGCCCCACAGCTGGAAAGGTTTAAGCCAGGCTTGACTCAAGCAGACTGGCTTCAGAATCCCTGCTCTTGACCCTTGGCCAGGAGGTCTCAGGTCAGCTTGTGTAATCCTCACACTGACCCTCTGAATTAGGTGGGCCCTTTTGTCCTCATTTCAGTGATAAGAAAAGTGAGGTTCCGAGAGCCCAGGAGCTGCTTTCCCACAGCCCCTCACTGAGCACACGTGTGTCCTGCTGGCAGGCTTTTCTCCCACCTGGGACATCCGCAGGGCAACTCAGCCTCTATGCAGCACTTGACAGTTTATAAAGCTCTTTGTCCTCCGGGGCCTTGTCTGATCCTCATGCAGTCCTGGGCACGAGCGGGGGGCCTCACCTATCCTAGTTGTATTGATGAGGGACTTGAGGCTTTGAAAGGCAAGGGCTTGTTTCAGGCCCCAAGCTGGTGCATGATGAGTCTGGGGCCAGAGCCTGGGACACCCCGTGCCTGGGCTCCCTTTGTTCCTGTTGCCGCCCCATTTCTCTGGGACCATGACCTTGAAGGGTCAAGTGGAGGTTCAGGTAACCCATGACCAGGAGGGGATGCTGTTAATCTGGGTCCCCTCTCCTGTGGCTGGCAGACCTGGGGTGACACTCTGACGGTAGCTACAACTGGGGCCTCCCCGTGCTCTGAGAACCACGGTTTCTGAACCCAGGCAGCTTGGGTCTCTCTTCGGCCGTGAGGGCGGGGTCATCCTCTACTTCCCAGCTCCTTTGAAAACCGCAGAAAGCAGACCACAGGGAGGCTGAGCTTCTTACGGAGCCTCTGATAGTCGGCTCCCAGGCCCAGCCTGATTCCCAGCTCTGCTGTCAGCTTCATACGCTGCTCAGAGACACCCCCAAGGAGTTTCCCCTCCTGGTGTCATTGTTTATGCTGTTTTCAGTGTTCACTCGAGCACAGAGGCACATTACACAGTTATCTGAGCACCCGTGTGTTTGTGGGAGTGCACTTGATGTTTACCACCATTACCTTCCTTAGAAAGTATTGAAACAACGTGGATGCATATAACATAGAGAGAAATACTCCCCACAATCCATCCCCAAGAAAGAGTTTGCGTGCTTCGGTGTTTTTCCGTGTATGTCTAGCGGGTGTGGATGCAGCTGCATTTCTGGTTCCCCAGCCCACTGCCTCTCCAGCTTCGATGCTGACGCGCAGCCCTTCGTCTCTGCCTCTCTCTAGCCCCCACCACCTTCTTGCTGTTCAGCCAGAAATGTGCAATCAGCCGGATGATCCCCGACGACCAGCACAGCCCGGACCTCATCCTGCCGCTGCACGGGCTGAGGAACGTCAAGGCCATCTCCGAACCCTCGGCGGGAGCGCCGCCGCACTCCCAAGCGGTGCACTCTCCAGTGCGCCACCGGGCCGGCCCAAACCTTAATGTTTTAACCATTGTTAAGTGACAGTTCAGTGGCATTAGGTGCATTCTCATCGTTGTACGGCCACCACCCCCATCCATCTCCAGGAAGTTTCCATCTTCCCAAACTGAAACTCTGTCCCCATTAAACACTGACTCCCTACTCCCCTCCCCCAGCCCCGGGCACCCACCATTCTTTCTGTCTCTATGAATTTGATGACTCTAGGGACCTCATATAAGTAGAATCACACGGTGTTTGTCCTTTTGTGACTGGCTTGTTTCACATTGCATAGTGTCCTCAAGGTTCATCCATGTTGCAATGTGTGCCAGGATTTCCTTCCTTCAACACTGAGTAGTATTCCGTTGTGTGTATCTGCCACATTTTGTTATCCATTCATCCATGGATGGGCACTTGGGCTGTTTTCACCTCTCAGCTGGCATGAATAATGCTGCTACGCATGTTTCCACTTTGCTAAGGTTTTGTACCGAGAGGAGAAGGGGTATTACTCTGGTGTTGAGCAGGATTCTGGCAGGAAATTTTGCACTAGCATAAGAATCGTTGCTTACATTAAACTTGGAGCTCAGGGTTTATAAAACTGGCCAGCTGTGTTTGCCTTCTGGTTTATGTCTCCCTGGGGAGGGCTGTGGGTGTCACTTCACACCGTGCACATTTATCTCAGGTGGTCATTCTGATGCTTGGTGTCCTAGAGTTTGGTTTGACCTCCCGCTCCCACAACCCGCCCTCCATGGTGAGCCGATTCCAGCCGGAGCTGGTGGAATCTTGCTTCTCTTCTGGCCCATCGGCTGCACCAGGCTGAGGTCCACAGTCAGAGAACTCTGTGGCTTTTGGGAAGGAATGTACCCAGTTGGAGCTGACATGAGACTCCCTGGGGCCCACGACTCTGGGGATGTGGATGTTGTTAGCTGCGAAAACATGTGATCCTTTAAAGTGATGCCCTTGCACCTGTCCAGCAAGGTGGCGCAGAGCAGCTATGCGTGTGTGGGTGCGTAATAACTTCGTATAGCATACATTATACGAAGTTATACGATCAGTGACAGATTAGAAAAAAGATAGGAACGTGGCAAATACAGGAGCACCTTTTTGCACATGTTAAATGGTTAAGTGTACAAACCCTACAAAATGTGCATACGTAAATAGTACAGTAAATTATAGCGCTTTTCCTTGAAAAGACGTGAAGTTGGTTTGTGAAGGTGCGCGTTGGGAGAGTTGCAGCTTGTGAGTTTTTATGAAACGGTGGAAGGATTGTGTGAAATCAGGTGGAAAGTTCTAACCCTGGGTGCGGACAGGTGAGGCACATGGCGCCTGTCCAGGGAGGAGGAAGATGTTGGAGGTGTGTCATTAGTGTGTCCCTCCGTGGGTCAGTGCTGGGAGCGATTTTCTGCATTTGTGTAATGTTTCCCATGGATGAAATTTTGCATAAGCAGATGTGAAATCTGTGTTGTGCTCAACACCGTGTTGGAACCAATTTGCGTTTGCAAAATGAGCGTTGTAGCAGAAGCAACCGCTTTATAATGCTAGGTTTGTGTTCCTGTTCCAGGAAGGATGTTTTCACTGGCTTTGGGGCCTACCTGGCATTTCTGCCTACCTGTGAGGGGGCTAAGCGGGAGCGCCGCCGCACTCCCAAGCGGTGCACTCTCCAGTGCGCCACCGGGCCGGCCCAAACCTTAATGTTTTAACCATTGTTAAGTGACAGTTCAGTGGCATTAGGTGCATTCTCATCGTTGTACGGCCACCACCCCCATCCATCTCCAGGAAGTTTCCATCTTCCCAAACTGAAACTCTGTCCCCATTAAACACTGACTCCCTACTCCCCTCCCCCAGCCCCGGGCACCCACCATTCTTTCTGTCTCTATGAATTTGATGACTCTAGGGACCTCATATAAGTAGAATCACACGGTGTTTGTCCTTTTGTGACTGGCTTGTTTCACATTGCATAGTGTCCTCAAGGTTCATCCATGTTGCAATGTGTGCCAGGATTTCCTTCCTTCAACACTGAGTAGTATTCCGTTGTGTGTATCTGCCACATTTTGTTATCCATTCATCCATGGATGGGCACTTGGGCTGTTTTCACCTCTCAGCTGGCATGAATAATGCTGCTACGCATGTTTCCACTTTGCTAAGGTTTTGTACCGAGAGGAGAAGGGGTATTACTCTGGTGTTGAGCAGGATTCTGGCAGGAAATTTTGCACTAGCATAAGAATCGTTGCTTACATTAAACTTGGAGCTCAGGGTTTATAAAACTGGCCAGCTGTGTTTGCCTTCTGGTTTATGTCTCCCTGGGGAGGGCTGTGGGTGTCACTTCACACCGTGCACATTTATCTCAGGTGGTCATTCTGATGCTTGGTGTCCTAGAGTTTGGTTTGACCTCCCGCTCCCACAACCCGCCCTCCATGGTGAGCCGATTCCAGCCGGAGCTGGTGGAATCTTGCTTCTCTTCTGGCCCATCGGCTGCACCAGGCTGAGGTCCACAGTCAGAGAACTCTGTGGCTTTTGGGAAGGAATGTACCCAGTTGGAGCTGACATGAGACTCCCTGGGGCCCACGACTCTGGGGATGTGGATGTTGTTAGCTGCGAAAACATGTGATCCTTTAAAGTGATGCCCTTGCACCTGTCCAGCAAGGTGGCGCAGAGCAGCTATGCGTGTGTGGGTGGGGTGGTCGTGTCCTTCCCACTGGGTCCAAGAGGCTAGGCCTGGTGAAGGAGCTTCTTTTTGGCCACAAGCCCCTTCTGGCCTACCTGGAGACTTCTTGTTTTGCCAACTACTGACTGAGAGACGTTGGTAAAGTGCAGAACGACCTGTGATCAGAGTAGATGTCAGCCCACTCCCTTCCGATAGGGAGGAGCTTTTTATCCAAACTCTAGGTGGCAGCCTGTGCATTCCAAGTCTCCTTTGCATCAGGCCAGGTCATCCAAAAACCCAAACACAGTCATCTTTTGGGGTAACCCAGGGGGTCTAGGTCCACCAGGCATCAGGCTTCTGACATGGGGGAGACGAGGGTGGTTCTGGGCTCTCCCCTCTTGGATCAGTTTAGCAAAGTCCCTTTGCAGCGAGTCCCAGTCAGAGATTACCAAGGTCAGAATTGTCATTCCTGCGATGCAGTGGATGGCATGGGGTCAGGTAGAGCTCAGGAGATCCCAGAAAGTGTAGGGAGGGAGGGCTGGCGTGAGTCACCGAGAGATGTGGCTGGGCCTGCCCTCCCACGAGGGGCTTGGGTCATCCCAGCACCCTCCTCTGCCCCATACCCCTCTCCTGCTCTGCATCCCTCCCCTGTCCTGCATCCCTGTCCTCTTTCCCTCGGGATTTCCACACGTACTGTCCTGGCACTCTAAAAAAACAAACGAGATCTGAGGGTCTTAAGCCAAAAGCATGAGTCCCAGAACAGAAGAGGGAAGATGTCTTGAGAGGGGGCCTGGTGGTCCTGGGGACTGTCCAGCTGTCCGTTGGGCCTTCCTTGTGAGAAGGGACTGGATAAGAGGTCTGATGGCCGTAGTCTGGTGATGCAGTGCTGGGTCTCTTGGTGGATTTGCTAAACGACAGGAGCACTTCCGGAGCCCACTGTCCGGATCCGTCTTTGCACTCTCAGTGAGCATGCGGTTAGAGCTGTTTCGAGAAGAAAGGTCCCCAAACCACTGTTGGAATTTTGAGTTTCAGGCTGATCTCAGGAACCATGGCCTCTGCTGTCCCGAGACATCTCTAGCTGGCACTTGCAGAGTGTCTGATGGCACGAGTTTTGGTTTCTTACTGTCTTACAGCCCTTCGTTTTGACCTCTCCAAGCCAAAGCCAAAACCCAGACAGGCAGCCCCATGATCTCAGCATTGACATCTACAGCCGGACGCTGTTCTGGACATGCGAAGCCACCAACTCCATCAATGTCCACCGACTAAATGGGGATGCCATGGGGGTGGTGCTTCGTGGAGACCGGGACAAGCCAAGGGCCATCGTCGTCAACGCTGAGCGAGGGTAGGAGCCTGATGGGGCGGGCGGGTGCCATGGTGTCGGGGTGAGGGTGCTGCACCCTCTCAGGCATGCCAGGCCATTTGCTGGCCCCTGAGACCCTTGGGTGATGCCAGCCTGTCAGATCTCAGGGGCTGGGAGATATTTTCCATCAGTAGCTTTCCAGGATCTCAGTGGCCCGAGCAGAGAATGAAAACTCATTCAGGATCGCAACAGGGAGGCAGAAACGCGCAGGGCCAACCTCAGCAGGAAGCAGGTGCTAGAATGGAGATGGGGTGCTTTGGTGACAGACACAGGAAAGACTTTGAATAAGAAGACAAATGGGGGGCTGGCTGGATAGCTCAGTCGGCTAAAACACAGTGTTATAACAGCAAGGTCAAGAATTCAGATCCCCGTACTGGCCAGCCACCCCGCCCCCCAGAAAGAAGAAAACATGGGAAAGATGTGAGTTCTAATTTGTGGGTTTTGTGCAGTCCCTGTAAAACTTGAACCCTGTATAAACCCCCTTCCATGATGCTCCAGGTGGTGGATGGTTCCTTCTCCCACATGTTCCACCACGGGGAGCTCCCAGGAGCCTCTTCCTTCCCGGAAGGCCCCCGATGCACCCACTTATAGGTCCTGGGAGTTTGTGATTGGTGGGAGGGCAGCCAGAACATGTGGATAGCTTTAGAGGTTCCCAAAGGGAACAACCAGGGCAGAAGGGTGACCTAAGGCCGCATGACATGAAGCTCAGAGAGAAAACTGAGCACGAAAAGGTTTGGGGTCAGAAGCATGGTGGCCTCCTCCATGTACCTGCAGGACTGACATACAGGATGGGAATTAGACGTGTCTGGGTGCTGTGCTGTAGGGCCCGGGGTGGCTAGAACGAGCACAGGTCCTGGGTGGGGCAGGCAGACCGGAGTTCAAATCCTGACTCTGTCACTTACTGCCCGTGTGACCATGGGCAGGTGACCTAATCTCTCAGACTTGCTTCCTCGTCTGTAAAAGCGAGGACAGTGGCAGTGCCAGTCTCTACAGCACACGGAGGGCTCGGTGCATGGAGGCCTCTGTGTTTAAGGTGGCTGTTCAGGACCTGATGAGGAGGCAGAGGTTCCTCGGCAGCTGTGCAGGGGTGTGTATTAGTTTCCCATGGTAGCCGTAACAAATTACCACAAACCGGTGGCTCAGGACAACAGATGTTTATTTTCTTACACTTCCGGAGGCCAGAAGTCCAAAATCAAGGTGTCAGCAGGGCTACCCTTCCTCTGAAGGCTCTAGGGGAGGATCTTCCAGCCTCTGGTGGTCCCAGATGTTCTTTCACTTGTGGTCACATCACTCCAGCCTCTGCTTCTGACTGCACATTAGCTCCTCTGTGTCTCTGTGTGGACTCTTCTGTCTCTTTTAAGGACACTGTCATTGGTTTTAGGGCCCACCCTAACCCAGTATGGTCTTATCTTGATCTTTAATTTCGTCTGCAAAAACGCTGTTTCCAGATAACCTCACATTCTCAGGTGCTGGGGTGGACATGAATTCTGGGGGGACACTATTCAACCCAGTACAGGGTGTGACCTATCAGCCTCTGGGGCCACCCTGAGAGGCTGGGGCTGTCTGACCGATAACTGCTCCCAGCCCTGCCAGGTACCCTCAGGGCCAGGGGCTGGCCTGATGCTCATGTGAGCTTGTGCTGGTTGAGGAGATGCTGCCACGGCAGGCGCCCCCTGTACCTGTCCTTTACCTGCTGCCCCCCCCCCCCCC